AAGAGAATGGATGCAGACGTTGCGGACCGGAGGCTTTTGAGTCTTGTGAGCTGTCCTTTTGGCTTTGGAACTACAGTCCGGTTGACCTCGTAGACTGCTGTTCCTGTCTTCACGGCTTTTCTCCAAGCCGACCATCCTGGACGAGGTCCTCCCAGGTTTTCGGTGTTATTTACTGTTGATTGAGATATTTTTTCAAAGTTTACGTATAACGTCCTTTTTGACAATCTTGTCGGCGAGCACTCATAGTGACATCACTATATAAGTGCCAGTTAGACGTTCGTCATCCGGCTTCGTGACGTGGCTGCTCCATACATTTGAATTTACCTCAGTCCTGAACGTTTGGAGCTTCGTGTTGGGTCGAGGTCCGTAGCAGTTCCAGGCCGAGCCGTGCAGCCGGACGAAGGTCTGGCTGAGTTTGGAGGTCCGGCGGATCACTTCGTCGTTTATTTTGATGCTGTGTGAGATTGTGCTGCCTAAGTAGGCGAAATTTTCCACGGTTTTGATCCAGGTGCTGTTATGAGTGATGTGAACAGTGTTGTATTCAGTGCCTGGTTATGATTTATTTCATGACAACCGTTCTGTCCGTGTTTTCGGTCGGCCCGAAGTTTGCCCAGCCAACGGTGAAAAGGTCGTGCTCCGTTGTATATCAGGTCCCGTCGTGGTGTTAAGCGCGCAGTCGTCCGCAAAGTGCAGGTCGTGAAAAGTTGTCGCATAGAGGCGCGTCGCGGCCTGCATGCGTCGCAGTTGAGAAGTTTGCCATCGGTCCTGTAGACGATGCTGGTCCCAGGTCACACATCACAGTAGGCGTCCATCGGCAGGATAGGAAGCACGAAACTGAATAGATTGAGAGCTAGTATGCAGTTCTGGTTCGCTCCACTGGTTACTGAAGATGCTTCTGAGATGGTCCCGCTGTCCGTGAAGCGCGCCACAATCCCGTCATGGATCGCTTAGGACAGCCCAGTTTTGTATAGTTTGCCGCGGTTCATCGCAATCCGCCGTGCCGAAGGCTTTCGCCTGGTCAGCTAAGGTGGTGTAGTGGTAAACTCACATCTCCTGGCACTACACTTGTAGGTGGCTTGCTGAGAGAGATCCTTGTTCAAGACGGTTGAGAAGGATGCGGGCAACGATCTGCCCCGCAATGGAGAGCAGCGAGATTCCTATCTGGTTATCACGGACTTGCCGATTCCCTTCCCGCTTGCAGAGGTGGACGACGGCAGCGTCCTTGAAGTCCTGGGGAACTTTTCTTCGGCGCCACCTTTCTGGTAATATCTTTGTAAGTTTGTTCATTGGCCGGGAACTGCCGTGCTCGTAATAGTCGGCTGGAATCGCGCTGGAGTCTCATACTTTCCCGCTGGAGGGTTATTCCACGTCTCCGATTGCTTCTGGGAGGTGAAGCGGAAGGTAAGGGCCATTGCTCGCTTCCACTTTGGGGAGCCGATCGATGGCGGCGTCGGGGTTAGTGGGTGGGCAGTTGAGGACGGTTCTGAACTTTTCGGCTCAGCGCATCAGAATTTGCGATTTCTCCGTGACGAATATTGTTCAGTCGGGGCTGAGAAGCGGGGCGATTGCTTTGGCTGTGGGACCACAAGCCGACTTCATTGATGCAAAAAAGTTCTTCACTTCATTGCGGCCCGAGGAATCTTGGATCTCCACCACCTTGCGATTTATCCAGAGGTCCTGCAGCTCCTGCAGCCGCTGCTACACGAGGCAGCAGCAGCTAAAAAAAGCCGCCTCGTTTGGGTCGATACGACGGTTTATTTTGACTTTGTGTAGTCTATTTTGCTCTACGAGCAGGTTGCTGATTTAAACGCCGTTGCTGTCAAACCAGCCCTGGTGTTGAGAGCATGTTCAACCGAGGATATCCGGAACGGTGGAAGAGATGACGTCGTGCAGTTGACGCTACCGTAACTCCACGGTGGCGTTATCGTGCGGAGCCTGTAGGTCTTCCAGGCACTGGTCAATTGATTGCTGAAATTTATGTGGCGAGCAGGCAAATTCAGCGGAACAGTACTTAACCTACCTGTTCGTCGATTACCTAATGATCCCATATGAGGTTGCAGTCGGAGCCTTACATTGGAGCTGACGAGGTGATGGCCTGTCCAGCCA